GCTCCTACAATTGTTGCTCTCTACACTTGGTTGTTTTGTTTATTGTGGATGAAGCATGGAGTTTTGATTTAAAAGATATCTCTATTAATTTCTGCTACTCAAGCATCCGCTCCGATTTACATACAACATCTCAAAAACAACGATGGCATAGATGACCAATTTCAATGGATAAATAATTAAGGAAAAATAACATTAAAGCATATGGGGAAAGATACAAGGATTAGAACAGAATAGCTCAAACGCTCTAAGACGTTAACCTGCGTGGAGGGTGCAAGTTATTGTTGTAGTAAGGAAACTACAATCAGTTCAGTTTCTAATGGTCCAAATGACCTCCACAGATACTTTCTATTGATTATCGATTGAAGCAGAGAGAAAGAAGAGAGGAAGATGAGAAAGGCTGTGCTGGAGGAAAACTATAGGTGTAATTCTCCAAAGATCAGTAAATTACCGGACTTTGAAGGTGCAATATTACAATGGACTTACACTGAGCAAACTAATCCCCATTGAGAAGATGTGACATAAACGCTTAATTCCAATGTTTATTAAACTTTGTCAAAATGTACCTGTTGCATTCAATGGCATGGTAATGTGTGTTTTGGGAAGTTGTTTCATATCACATCTGTGCCATGACCTGCTCTGCCTTCCCCGACCTCCGCAGCAACGCCCGGTTCCGCCAGGCCTCCAAAACCTTCATTCATGCATTTATTGCATCCGGGCTCGTCTTCGCTAACTCCCTGCTTGTCAGCTAGCCCAACTCTTCCCTCTACAAGCTGCAGATCATCCAGAACTCTGCAGCTTGTGTCCCCTCCCACATCAGCCTCCGTGATCCTATCACCCCCACCCTCGCCCAGCTCCACTGGCTCCCCATCTTCCAGAGGATAGAGTTCAAAATCCTCGTCTTTCCCACCCCAGAATCCCCTTTGACCCACCTGTTAAGAAAAATAAATCTCTTTCTCTCTTCTCCCCCTTTCTCCATTGTAAAAAAAGTGTCTTCCAGACAGAAATCTAAATCCCAAATGATGACATTTTTGATGACTCAAGAGCTGCATACGTTGTAACTTAATTATCACGTTAACACTGGCAGGCGTAGACCGAATTGCAGTTCATTTAAAATTGCATTTAAAATTATGTCAAGTACGAGACGATGAATTTGAATTAATTTGCATAATATCAAATTCTTCAGCAGCTTAATTGCTGCTTAAATCATATATACTGTATTTTGATGTAACATTTATCCCTCTTAAAGGTCAGATTACATGTGATCTTATACTTGTATATGCATTGTAACATTTGCTATAAAGTGGAATATTCTCATTAACCATTATCTGCCACATTCCTATCTTCTAAAACACTTCAGAGGTGTAGATAGATGTTCAACCTCTCTGATCTAAAATTGGCATAGAGCTTTGGGTTGAAGCAAACATGTCAACAGATGGGAGAAGGAATGACACCCCATAACCAAGTAACAGATGGTTTATCTTAATGAAAGGAGAAAAATTCTGAAGGCTTATGCCAGGTATAAAATACAAAGTGAACCAAAGAGAAGGAATACTATCTAAAGCAATTATTTACAGTATAATGTTCACACAAGCTAATTGTGTGCCTCTGCTCTCCCCCTTGGATTTAAAGAGCATTACTGTTAGAACAAAGTACTGTACTTACAGTTACGCTTGCCACTTATCATAGCACACTTCAAACTGAACATATGTTAATTTACATCCATCATATTTAATAACTTTCAGGTAACCAAAGCTTCATTAACCAGAGCTATCACAATCCAAAACAAACCATCACAAGTTACCTAACAGGAACAAAAAGTAAATTTAGTATTCAGATGGCACCACAATGTGAGAATGCAAAACTCTTTATGTTAGCCTAGAACAGTACCTCAGTATAATATTTCCAGCACATAATTCTTTACAGATGCACGTACTATTTTAGTATTTGATTCCTTCAATATTGTAAGGACTCGTAAACATTAGAGAAAAATATGAAAAAAAAGTTTGTACATTGAATGAATATCTGAATGTATTGTTAGTGGGATTTTTTCTGGCAAAATAATTTTGGGTTATTACACTATAATATTCATTTGTTTGCCTACGAATAGACAGTCACTACACTTGAAATCCTGTGAAATGCTTTGAGATGTTTCGATGATGTAATCAGGCGCTATGTAAAATGCAGGGATTCTTGTCATTATTATAATTCACACCTGTTCAAAACCAAAGTTTGAGAATCCAAAGACTATACACTTCCATTTATTTGCCAACATGGTGAATGCAACCAACAGTAATGGTCAGCAAACACCAATATAGGACACAGCAATATGTATTCATGTATCGTAATTCATTCATGGCAATATGTGTAATATGTATTCTATCAGATATCAAGTTCTGAGAGCTCATGAGATGAGCGCTAATTTTCTTTAGTTGAACGTCAACAAGGCCAAGACCCTCCTGATTGGCTCCCATCAGCGCCTCCACACCTCAGGCGCTGATAGATCACCATCCATGGATGTAAACACCACTTTACTAAGCCAGTCCAGAAGTTTGGTATCTTGTTTGACCCTCAACTATCCTTTCTACCCCACATCTGTGTCATGACCCACTCTGCCTTCTCCACCTCCGCAACATCGCCCGGCTCCACCACTGTCTCACACCGCAGGCTGCCGAAACCCTCAAACATACTTTCATTACTTCGAGACTTGACTATGCAGACTCCCTGCTTGTCAGCCTCCCGAACTCCTCCCTCCACAGGCTGCAGATCATCCAGAACTCTGAAGCCCGTGTCCTCTCCTGCACCAGGCTCCATGATCCTATCACCCCCATCCTTGCCCGACTCCACTGGCTTCCCATCACAGAAGATACAGTTCAAGATCCTGGTCCTCACCTTCAAAGACCTCCATGGTCTTGCTCCCCGCTACTTCTGTGACCTCCTAACTCCCTACCATCCTGCCCGCTCCCTCCGTTCAGTGGGCTCCAGCCTGCATCACATCCCCCGCCTCGCTCACCCCACCAATGGTGGACAGGCCTTCTGCCACTCTGCCCCCACCCTTTGGAATTCTATCCCTCAGTCTCTCCGCCTCGCCCCTCCCTTGCCTTCTTCAAAACTCATCACAAGACCCTCCTCTTCGACTGTGCTTTCGAAAACCCCTCCCCCCACTGCTCTCCACCCTCCCCGATCCCCACCCCCAGCTCAGGTCCGAAACTGTGACTGTCCATCACCTTGGGACGTCCTCCCGACGTGAAAGGTGCTATACAAATGTAATTCTGTTGTATTCTATATGGATATTTGTAATCGCATGTTCCCTTTCTTTTCAGATCATCTGGCCAATCCTCCTGAGAACCGTTCAATGCTCAGGACACCTCCACCTCCAATGACGCATCCCCACACATTAAACCATCCCCATGCCTCCTCAGTAAACTCACTGAACAGGGGAACTTCACTACACGCAGTAACCCCAGCCCAAGCCCAGCAGATCTCCCACCTCCTCCAGAGCCACCTCCAAGCACACAGGAGTCCGCTCACATGCAGGACAATTGGCTGCTCAACAGTAACATTCCCCTGGAGACCAGGTAGGCATCTCGTCTTTATAATCTAGTAAAATAGCCAACCACTGCTGTGGCTATTCTATAATGACATTGTTTTAGATTCCAGTCTAGTTTTTAGTCTTTATTTCTTAAAATCTGTGCAGTGTTTGCAAAAATAGAATATAAATATTGTAAATGTGATAATTTCCATAAACACATTTTGGAAACTGTTTCATTTTTTGAATACCTGATTTTGTCATCAGGTGATTTTTGCATATTTATATTTATTTTAAAAATACTCGGCAAATTTTCTCATAAAGATTAAAGATTAGGAGAAATTAAATCAATTATACATTGAATTCTTTCAGATTCAAAATAAAATCAGGAAATTAACTGAACAGATTACAATAAGGAGCAAGAATCTAGTGATTATTGATATTAATAATAATCCTTGCATTTGATACAGTGCCTTATCACGCCTTTTCACGCCTTCAAGATGTCTCAAAGCGCTTCACAGAATATATTGTAAAGTGAATTAGCTCTGTTGATCATTGCTACTGGTGTCTGGTGGGACAAGCACTTTGTGCACGCATTGGAATGCATTTGTAGAGCTCTGCCTTCTGACACACTTTGCAGGCAGCATGACAGGTCCACATTTGAGATCGTCAGGAGCTGTTGGCAAAAGTACTAATGGGACTCAGAACTTACTATAGTTAATTCACATTGCTGAAAAATGGGCATTGATTTAGGCTCCAGTTGTGCTCTGAGATAAATGGTTTCTCTCTCAGTCTCTCTAAAAAATGTAAGATTTTTCTGTCGATGTGAACTAAAGAAATAATCTAAATTCAAAGCATTCTTTATTAAGAGGAAATTATGTGTTACTCTTTTTTTCAAAATTTGTTTAAAACAGTATAATAATTGTCCAAATTGTGACTGTTGTCATATGAAGAATTTGAATTTACTGGAAATTAAGCTCTTGGTTTTCCAAGTGACATTCTGACACACCATCAGTCAGAGTGACAGTAAGAGAAGCAGTCTTATTTCAGTCTCGTTCCAACTTCAAATTCTTTTGTATATGTTTATAATTATAGTATATTGCAAGGAATTTTAATATTACTTATAATAAATGGTATCTAACTAAGAGTTGTGGCACATTTATTTTAAATTGTATCAAAAAGTGAACAGAATGCAGTTGTTAACTTTTACTGGATTTAAGGTTTCATTCATTTTAAGGCAAATTTATGCTAACCATTTTACATGACTGCTTAAAAGTATTAAACTGCAAATCAATTAATGGCATGATTTAAAAAGACATCAGTTGATTTCTTGGCCGCATCTGTGTTTGCCATTAAACTGATGTCTGGCTTTTAATTTTTGGCTATTTTGCTAGCTTTGATTTTTCTTCCCCCCAATCACTATTTTCTACATATGCAGCTCATTGCCTTCATTCATCTTTCCATCTGTGTATAGAAATGTAGCAAAGCAGACATTCCTAGAGACTTTGCAGGACAACCTAATTGAGATGGACGTTTTTTCCTCTGCTCGGCATGAAGGTGGTTACAATGATGGGTATGTGATGCTTCTCACTGGGAATAATGACCTTTGTGCTCATTTCTTTCTTGCCTTAGAGCCGAAAACTCAATTTACAAAATCTCATTTTGAAACTTTACAGACTGCCAATGTTTCGCAGATGTATCAAATGGGTATTATCTGAGATTGATTTTTTTATTGAAAGCAACGACTTTTGTGTGGAACGTTGATGTTTCTCAAACACTAATAAACTTATCTGATACAAAAGTAAAATCTATTTTTGTATATAACTTTAGCTAATTGTGTTCGTAGAACCTATCTAGTTTGCTAATGGACTCTTGGTTGTTTCTGACCTCTTTTATAAATGCCAGAAGCAACCAAGATTGTAAGGATGGGCATGGCAAAGATTGATGGCTACAGGGGAAATCTATCTAGTTTCAAACTGAGGACATGCTCCACTAGGATTTTGAAGACACTTGAAGGCCTGAAATTCTATCGAGTCTTAGCCTGTAAGGGTAATTTTGTCTTAAAGCATTAAGAATGTTCAAAATTGGGGAGAATTCAGTCATAATTCTTTTTAGAAAACCAGCTACCAAATTCAGACTCAATTTAAGAATTCTCCACATTTATGCTCAGGCTTAAATTGTAAGCCAAAATGATCTTACAGGGCAAGTCTAGGTGGAATTTCAAGCCTTTTATCAAATGTGTGCTGATTTCTAATGGAATTCATAAAGAGGAAATGAAAAGTGCTGGAAGGATTTCTTATTACGAATTCCCATTAAAAATCACTAGAATTTGACCCTAAATTTCTTTGTAATTGTGGGTTGTGAATTGAGACCTGCGATGCTTAAATAACACATTGGTGAAAAATGTGCCCATTTAATGTTTTAATTATTCAAGTGCCTGTGGGTGTGCTAAGCCCAGTGGTTGGATTTGAATCTACCCATGTGATCTATTGGACTGCTGGTTAATGGAGCACGGCCACATAACTCAGGGGAAAAAAATCTAAGTTCAGCCAATTCTCTGCTAACCAACAATCCAATGCCTTGATCCAGGAACCAGCAGTCTCAGATACAGATGGCTCTGTGTTCAACCATTGTCAGGGAGGTGAGGGGCACAATCATGGACCAGTTAAACAATTAAGAGATTGACAAGCTGTATTTTTAAAACCAGTATTAATTAGCACATTAGAGGTTGCATTTTTCACTCCATTTTTTCCAGTCGTCCCTGGATATAACAGTTATCTATTCAAGTTGATTTCAAAATCTGACTTTGCTGGTATCTTCTACGTCTCCTAAATAATAATAATAATAATAATAATCCTTGCATTTGATATAGCGCTTTTCACGTCAGGAGGACGTCCCAAAGCGCTTCACAGAACACACTGTAAAGTGAATTGACTGTATATTTGTGGGCGAACGCAGCAGCCAATTGCGCACAGCAATGTCCCACAAACAGTCATAGATTGAAAATGACCAATTTATTATTGTTTTTTGTTTTGGAGGGATTATTATTAGGCGTGTGGAGTAAGGAAACTTGCCCAAGGTTTCGCCCTGCCTGGAATTGAACTCAGATCTCTCGCTTGCAAAGCGAGTGCTCTTACCACTGAGCTACAGGACTCCACAATACGTGTAAAGTTTCTAAATCCAAATGGCAATCTAACCCAATCCTGGCAATGCACTGTTTTCTACATGGAATATAGTGAACAGTCTTTCTGATCCATTTCCCTCCCCTCCCTTCCTCCACTATTTAATAACGTAAATTATTTGCAGTATTTGCAACCAACACTCGAGTTATGCTTTTTATTCAGTGATCAACTTGCCACTAGTCATTATGAGCTCTTAAGAAGTAGCATTTAATCACATTATTGAAACAAGCAGTTAAATTGTTTTGATCATCCAGGTGTCAGACATACGCAGAAACCCATCACCAATGTCTGTGTACACATTTTATGCGAAGATTTTAACAGAGTCTAGAAGAAGTGTGGATATGATGTGCTGGTGCATGTACATTACAGTAAATGCTAGCAAAGTTGGGTTTCTTCAGATTCGCATGCTCATTGGCAATAAAACTCTGAGACTTAATTTGGACTAAAATACAGAAACAGTAAAATATCAAGTTTATACTGTACTGGTAAAGTAGCCCATTCTCAGAAGGACAATAGAGAGGAAGATTTGCGTTGTGAACAAAGGCAGCTGTTGGTATTAAGTATACAGATATTTTACACTGAACAAAAATTGTGTTTCACATTCATTTGCTCTTTCCCATCTCTCTTCCCAACACATTCCTCATTTCTCTCTCTTTCACATTTAATCACTCATACTCTGTGTATCTCTGTTTATTCCATGTATCTACCTGCTCTGTAGATAGCAAGTAGGTACAAGGATCTACTTACAATCTTACACACGCTTACATTTGTTTAGTCCATCTATGTCTCTCTCTTTTCCTGTCTCTCTCTGTTTTCTTTCCTCTCAGTCACTCAAATGTGTTCTCTTCTCTCTTTCTAGCTTTTCTTCCATCCCTGTGTAAATTAAATTTTCATCCATCGTTGAAGATAAATTCTTTCATTTAATTTTCAACATGGAATGAAAATGTAAAACAGCTGCTATTGTAACCGGGAGGGAATCTCAAAACATGTTGGATTGCTTGGAATTCTTTTGGAATTTCTGTTGAAATTTCCAGAAGTTTAGGAGTTTTTGTAATGAGAATACTTACTTATGAAGTAAGCTATGATTGCATAATTTATGAGTTTTGACCATACTTTTGATGGAGAGATCTGGAAAAATCTCATTGGTAAGTGTGTGTGTGGGGAGTGGGTGTGTTGGCTTCTACTGAAATTATATGTAAAGATAGTGACCAACAAGCTTGATTAATACGGTGTGTCAGTCATCTTATTTAACTCAACCAGAGGCTTGTGTGTGATTGTGTTTAACGGTAAATAAATGTAACGAGGAGTAGTGTCTAGAATTCCAGTAACCATCGCTCTGATAACCAGTCTCTGTCTTGCTTCATCAGGCACTTCTTATTTAAACCGGGAACTGGATCCTCCCCTCTCTTTTGTACCACTGGTCCCAGCTACCCCCTTACTTCCAGCACTGTGTACTCTCCTCCACCTCGGCCCCTGCCTCGCACCACCTTTTCAAGGTCTGCTTTCAGTCTGAAGAAGCCGTATAAGTACTGCAATTGGAAGTGTACTGCCTTGAGTGCCATCATCATTTCTGTTGCCCTGGTGATTCTACTTGCCTATTTCATTGGTAAGTTGCTCAGTGCATCTACTATTCAATGATATCTTCTTTAGCCGTGTTCACACAGTGACCTGAGGCTCGAACATCTTAAGATCTCTTTAAATTTAGAGTCATGCATAATTCAGCCCTTAAATTCAGTCTCAATTTGAGAGTTTGTTTTCAACAGTTATTTTTGGAAAAAACAGAACTGTGGAAAGCCATCTTCTAGATTAAGACTGAATTTAAGAAATTGCCAATATTCAACACAATCTTAACTTATAAACAATAGTCTGGAGGATAAGACCGTAAGGAACCTCAGGTCTCTGAAACCCTCCTGCATGACTTATTATTTATTTTAAACTTTGACTGATTTCTGCCTTAATTTATCTGTTCCAAGTTCAGTTCTTGGAAAAACAGTAGAAAATATTGCCAGATACACTTTGAGTAAAATTCTCCCCATTCTAAATGGAGAAGAATTCTGCTCCCCAATCTGTTTAGGGTACGTGTGAGCTTATGCATGTATATTGGTGACTTAAGAGTAACATTTTATTTAACTCCTTGGAGTCTGTTTGGTGGGTTTGGTTAACCATTATCATGGGGTCCTAATCATATAAGTATCCAATTGAAATGAATCCAGCATCACCAGTGATGTTTTCATTGATCCTTAATTTCATAATTAAGGGAACCTACACATGCATATGCGCACATGGTTAACCTGACTTGCACATTTTGCACGCATTGCTTAGTTTATGAGTTCATTTGGGGGGGGGGGGTGACCTGCAGCAGGGATTAACTTCACTCTGGAATGAGTTTATTGTTCACACTGTATTGCTTCTTAATGCTAACTCATTGTGGGCCAAAATACTGAGCAGGGAGTGATTTTTTCCTATGTCATTTCACAACCAAACTATTGTAGCTCGCTCATCTGCAAGGAAGGACATTTCAGAAGTTTGTTTGATCTGTACAGTATCTGCAATGTTTTCGTTAATGCCGTGTTTTATTTTAGATCAATTGAAACTATAAAACAAAGCTCCTGTCGTCAACTTCCATCTTCACTTTGACCATTTCCGCATATTTTAAAATGCAAAGTAGTATAATTACCATTTCAATGATTGGCAGGAACCATTTTATATAACATTAAAAATGTAATTTCAAACACTTTGGGTTTAAAAAAATACAGAATATCAATTATCGTATGTTAAAACCAGTTGATATTTGATGCCTGAGCTGTGACCATGAGTGAGTTGACTAGGAACAGCTTACTGGATGTTATTCCGACATAGATTTTTCCACATGATTCACCATTATTAGCAAAATTGATCAATTTAATTCAAGGAGGTCTGCATATTTTCTGAATTCCAGTGGGTTATGCAGAACAACACTTACCTCTTTTTGAGTCAAAAAATATTTTTTTGCAGCACCGTTGATTCAGGTTCTGATATTCGTTCAGACATGGGGCTGACCCTGAGTTGGAACCTAGCCTGGGAATTGGTTGTGATCCCCATTCACTGATCCCTGTTAAGATTACATGTACAAGTTCTTGCAATCTCGCTTCTTGTTCCCAAATGAGTTTGAGTCCAAATTACAAATCAACCACTTCCTGGGAAATCTGATTACTGAGAATCATGCTTCGAAAGTGTAGGAGAAAGGTTGCTCTTTAGAAGTCATGTCTGAAACTGCAATAGAATCTAAAATGTGGCATTTGCAAATCCGCAGTCACTGTTTAAATGCCATATAATGGATGTAATGGGCTGAACTTTGATTTTGAGATGTTCCTGTTTAGAAAAACCATGAGAAGCCCAACAAAAAGGTGAGAAAATAAAATCCCATCTTTAAAATGGCACTTGCATATGTTAAAAGTCATGGTTCCAGTAATATAAACAATTGTTAGTAAATTTCACAATGTCACTTGCAAGCCAGAGATAGCAATTGAATTGACTTCCAGTTTGCAAATGGAGCTTTTTAGACCTGGAGCTTAAGTAATGGGCAGAGAGGGGAACACCTTGGATTGCTTTTAATCCTTCAACCAAACTAACCTACAAGTACTGACTGCAGCAACAAAAGAAAATCCCTTTTGCATTGCCACTAACTAAAAACCCTTTCTCAGATGCCAGGAGGAACAAATATTCAAAGCTTTCTGTGTTTTCCCTTAAGTCATTTGACAACAAGAAGCTCTGCAAATTGCTACTAGTTGATGTAATTTTTTAAAAAGTGCCACATTTTGGCTGCGTTGAGACCAAACAAGCAAACAGACTGCCTCTTCACAACCAGCTGAAAACATCAGACTGGCTCCAGTCCCGGTAATTTTCCAGCCAAATAAATCAACAACCACTTGTATTTATATAGCGCTCTTCATGTAATGTTTAAGAGTAATTCACAAGGACTGGGCTGGACATTGAGCAAGGGGGAGAGGGAGGTGGCCAAAGGCATGTTCAAAGAGTTAGGATTCAAGAGAGGATTAAGAGGTAAATTGAGAGAGGTGGTTTGGAACTGGATTCTATGTAAAATCATTACTGGCAAATTGCCAGCAATACTCAGAAGATTAAATCAGTGTAATTACTGTATATAATTACTCCTGCATTAGAACTATTAAATTATTAAGCTAAAATTAATTTGCCTATTCCACTGCAAACATATTTAAAAATACATTTTCAGTAAAAGGACCCATGACCTGGTAACAAAATTAATTATACTTTTTTTTTAAAAAAGAAAGAGTTGGAAATGTTGTGAAGTGGAAACTCGGATTGATAAATGTAAATAGTTTAATGGAAACAATGTTCTTTGTTAGGTGTGGTGAATCAAATTCTGCCATAGAGTGGAAACATCGAGCTTTCAAGGGTATTGGTTCTGTGCAAAGTGGTCACACCACAAGGAGAAAGTTCACTATCCACCATCTTTGGCATTAAGTACCATCACTATAGATTTTTTTGTCAGATGGGTGTCTGACACATGCAGAAACCCAGCACCATGCTTAAGAGTGTCCAAACCAGACTCAGAGTTCCATGCATTGCCACCTACACATGGATAATCCCATGTTTGGAATGGAATGTGCACTCTCTCCTGGAGGGACATATCTGTCTTATCTAATTCCAGATTATTAGGTACAGTTTAGCAAAAGCCAAGGCTTGGAGATCAGAAAGTGTGTGTTGGGGTACAGCAGGAGTTTAACCAGTTAAAGCCACATAGATTGCCATTCAAACCACTGTCTGGCAAGCTTCCTGCTATTTGTCCAGCTCGGATCACCCTACCCATTAGGGCTTTGCTTTGTAGGTTAACAACAGGGTCAGACATCGAGCATGGGAGAGTGTGACAGGAGAAGGTGACCATATGCACACTGACAAAGATAGGTTTTAAGGCTGAACAGAGACTCTGTACTGCAGTGGCTATGAATCTCATTGCCCCTGAGCAGAGCTCCCGAGCACTTCCTGCTGGCTGTACTCCCAAGCCCTATAGATGAGCCAGGCTGTCTGGCTGCCATCAGTAGTGCCCTGGAGTACTGCAGACACGTCTGGCTCAGGATGTGGACTACCAAGACTGCCACAGAAACACAATTCTGACATTCCATTGCCAAGCATTGTCACCTTGGAACCAGTTCAGCTTTGAGACCCATCTTACCTTTCACTAATAATAATTATTCTTTTGGGGAAAGATTTCGCCCAGAATCACATTCATGCAAAGGCTCTTGCTCATGAAAAGTAGCTTCATAACATGGATTTACCCTTCTAATAACAGTGCTTTTACAAATCCTGTTGTTGATCTTAATCGATTGAGGGAGAGAATGGTGAGGTCACCGTTGGTTTGCACAATCCTATGCCAAAGACACGCAACTGGTTCCTTATTGGTATTAATAAACAGTCCCTTGAAAGTACTTGGGCTGTTCAAAAGACTAGTCCGAGAGCTTTTAGCATATCATGAAGAAGTGGCATCAGTACGATTCACACCCTTTAAGTTTACAACAACAAACTGCATTTCTGTATCACCCTCTATATAGGATAATATCTCAGACATACTTTACAAGGACAGGGTCAGACATCGAGCGTGGAAGAGTGTGGAGGGGGAAGGTGACCATATGCATACTTGCAAGGATAGGTTTTCAGGCTGGACAGAGACTCCATACTGCAGTAGCTATGAATCCCACTGCCCCTGAGCAGAGCTTCCGAGCACTTCCTACTGGCTCAACTCCCAATTCTTCTGCACATTTGCCAATGAATCACCACCTCAATCACAGCAAATCTCCACCAAAAAAGCAACATGAACCCAGCACCAATCCCCATGTTGCTTTAATTCAGTACAGATTAGTTGGGCCAAACAACCTGTTTCTGTGCTGTACTATTCTATTCTAGCTACTTCCTCCTACTGGAGGCTGGGTGCAGCTAAGGCAAAAATGGGAGAAATCTCTCAATCTATCATCTCTGACACACATTTGAAATTTACCATATATCACTCAGTTTTTCACGAACTGCTTACTGTGAAAAGCTACATCCTATTTCCAAGGAGGAATTCAGCAATTTTATAACTTATAGCAAATTATAAGCACCTTCTGCTAGTCAAGCTGGGCCTGCATTGTCGTACAAGATTGAGGAAGAACTGCCAATTCTATTTTCACATTCAACTGAGACTGGTTGGTTGCATTGCTCTGAGGTTTAAGAGTAAAGTTTGCTTTTGATGTTGAATTTCATTTGGGATATTTTATCAATGCTTTTTTTCAACAGAATTTTTTTTTAGTTTAAAAGTGAAAAAAGGAGAGTATTGCAGAGATTTACATTAAACTAACATAGTGCAGGCTGACACTCCAGGGCAGTGCTAGGAGTGTGCTACATTGTCAGACATGCTGTCCTTCAAATGTGATGTTAAATCAAGGCCCTGTTTGCCTGTTCAAGGCAGTGGAATTGAATGAACATTTTACCCTGAGGCTCGATAGGCCAAGTGGCCTCGTTCTGTGCTGTAAATTTCTAAGATTCTATGATTACTTTCTCAGTCGCTCACAGGAGGATTCATTTTTATTATTGATTGGGATTAGGGGGGATTTT